TTTTTTTTAAATTCCATTTATCCCGGGGGGGGGGGGGGGCAAGTGCCTCCCTTGCCCCTACCTGTGGGCGCCCATGGGTGGGGGTTATGTGGGAAATATTTGTTAAAACTTTAAATCAAATTGTCAATGTCCTGTCTTAAAATTTGTGACAGTTTCTATTTCTTTCTCAATAAATAGCTGGTGATTTACTAAGACTAAGAGGCGAAAAGCGGGAAAGTAATGAAATATATGTCAGTAGCGAAATAAACACCATTGCAAACATATGAATAATAGAGCAATTTGGTTCCATCCAGATACATAAAATCGCTAACACTGCCTCTCATTTTACTCACCACAAACCAGAGTCAACTTAGGTTGCATCTAAATAATTAAGTGCCATCTATCAAACTAGAGCTGACCAACCATAGGCGTCCGCAGGAAAGTTTGTCGAGAAAAAGTCAATCCACTTGCATAGGAAGGGGGCTGTGGAGTATCTAAATCATCTAAATCATTTAGTATCTAAATCATCTTCATTACTAGATTTTTAAAAAAAAAATGATCTATGAAAATGGCTTAAACTAAAAAAGAAAATAGGAAAGAAAAAAAATCTACCCGTCCTAAGAGAAATTAACATAGCAAAAAAAAAACCAACTAAAAAGAATAAAACTATGAATCTATGAAATAACAAGGAGAAAAAAACAATAACAAAAAAAAAAGAATTCTCATACTATTATTGTTATCACACCCGGCTCCGAAGCCATTTAATCTGTACGGAGCCACTCCGGGTGCGAGTAGTCATTTGCGGTTAAAGGTACACGGGTACCTATAGATTGCAGCCAACAATCAAACACGACCGGAAATAAAGAGATGTCACCAGGAATGATCCTATAATGGAGGCGAGACATCAATTGCACGTCGATAAAAATAAATAATCCTTTAAAAATATTTTGTAACAAACGTAATTACTCATGCACACCAAGTTGAGTTAAATACAATTTTGAAGAAAAAAAAGATGGATAACAGAAACAGTTTGGTATAGAACCCAAACCCATCAAAATCACCCCCTCTCGACCTCAAATTAATGTTTTAAAATCAAATGAATCAAGATTTTTTCAAAAGTAGAAAATTTTAGGATAAAAAAAATAAAATGTGGCGTTACAAATTTGTGCCCCCCCCCCCCCCCTGTTATAAAGTGTCACAAATTTTCGACCCCCCCCCCTCCCATCCCTCTGAGCGTGACGTAATTTGGGAACGACCCCTTACAATGCTTGGGATTGACCTATTAGCATTGAACTTGTAATGATCAGCCTGCACACCCCCAAACATGCGCCTGATTGCCCAAGGTCAAGTTCATTGAGTGTAAGACACACTTAAAAGTACGTTTCGTATTTGCATGTTTTAGATTTAAGACACGGTATTGACCTGGTCTTATCTTCTCCCGGCCCCTTGGTCATTATCATAGCAAACATACTAGTATTCTTGTTTACTTCACGATTTATACATGTTGATTTAGTAAGGCCATCTATTACCAGAAGTGTTGTCCTTTAATCAGTTTGGAGACATCCGATGACTTCGAATCGAAAACTTAAGATGAATTTAGTCATCTTTAAATAAGATTTTTGTCTCGTATTTGATCCCGTCTGCTTCCAACCAATGTCAAAGTTCATCCTCTCAAAATGAGTTAGAAAAGGTTAGAACCAATCCATCCTCATCACTAGTGTCTCATCTATATCAAATGTGTTTTTTATCATTTCACCAGTGTTTCACCTGTGCCAATGGTGTTTTTATTACTTTACTGGAATGTTATTTACCTTAACAGCCCCAGTAACGAACGGCCAAGAAAACTAACCATCAAATGGGCGTGCCTGAAATCAACTGATAAAATTGGTCGAAAGATAAGGACAAATAAGATTGGGCAATGATTTATGATTCTGAAAAACTGCACGACAGTGAGACTTTTAGTTTCACCTATGATAATATCGAAAATGTGTTTCAATTACTGTCAGACAATAAGTTCGGCCCATGCAAGAATACCTAATGCCCCCCCCCCCCAAAAAAAATGATTGTAAACCTTCGCCTATCTGTATCAAAAAAATTGCCACAATCACGTTGTTGTGCGATGTCTCTGATATAAAAGAAGAGGTCAATCTAGTGGTGACCGACCAATTTGAAGTCACCGTTTTACAACCAGAAATGCATTTATTATTCTGAAAAACTCCACGACAGTGAGACTTTTAGTTTCACCTATGATAATATCGAAAATGTGTTTCAATTACTGTCAGACAATAAGTTCGGCCCATGCAAGAATACCTAATGCCCCCCCCCCCCCAAAAAAAATGATTGTAAACCTTCGCCTATGTGTATCAAAAAAATTGCCACGATCACGTTGTTGTGCGATGTCTCTGATATAAAAGAAGAGGTCAATCTAGTGGTGACCGAACAATTTGAAGTCACCGTTTTACAACCAGTAATGCTGTGTCTCCATCACCTCAGATGTATCACCCACATCACGATCCTTGCCTTGCTGGTACAGGTTTCACGGGCTGCTGACACATGGATGACCGCATTAGATACATACTTCCAGATTGCGTGTCCGACCGGTCAGACTATCAAACATCTAGAGAGCGTACACGACAACACACACGAGGACCGGGTCTGGAACATTTCTTGTGCCCGCCTACCGAATTGGGTGGACCTCACCGAATGCGAGTGGAGCGGTGAGTTAATCATTTCATTTTCACTGTAGGTGCATTACACACAATTGTAATCCTTAGACTAGTAATTTCATTACACACAATTGTAATCCTTAGACTAGTAATTTTACCCACCATTGATGTGTTTCATTAATCGAATAATTTTTTTTTTCAAATAAATTTTTTTTTTTTTTAAATACCTAAAAACAACTCTTTCCTTAAATTAACATTTTGCATGGAATTTAACTACATATTCTGAAAATGAAGAAATGTGTCAAAGACTGTCTCTCCGTTTGTTCCAGACAGACACACAGCAGGAAATATATATATACACACGGTTGGTGACCTAGAAAGTATTTCAAGTTGAGAACCGTTCCCTGCAGCAAAACGTTTATTTCATATTTTCATTACGGCTCAAAGGTTGCCATGACAATCAATTCACTGTACACCCATCTTATGGTAAATAATAATAACCTTTGACCCTTCACACTCTCCAGGTTACCAGAACAACTACGACGAGACTGTTATATTCCAGTGTCCCGATGACGACGTCATCACAGGGATAGAATCAATTCACGACAATTCGAAAGAAGACAGAATGTGGTCTTTCCAGTGTTGCAATCCACAAGGTAACTCGTGTCGTCACTGTATTATGGAGTTCTAAGTTAAAATGGTCTTTCACACTCCAAATAAAAAAAAGATGTGTAGCTAAACATTTTCAAAGAAAGTTTGGCATAACTTAAGAAAAAAAACTTTAATCTGATAATCTTTTATATATATTGCGCTTCTGGTGTGATTTGTGGACTGCTTCCATATTTTGCTGCTTCCTAATCAGCGAATTCGGTATTGAGAGTATATTAAAAATAATTCTAAATGTTTGAAAGAAAGTGTGCTTCAATAATGAGTTCAATAGCGCGCAAAATATAACTCCCGATAACCACGCTAATTGATTTATTTTTTTTAACGCAACTGCGTTTGGCGCGTAATATTTTCTTCTCAGAAAATGAAATCGTCTTAATTTAAGTAAGGTGTAAAAATATTTGGCTTAAAAGTGGTTGGGACATCAGAATATTTCATATAGTTCATGGGCGTGAATTAAATATTGGGCTTCTTAAATATGCGTTACTTGAGCTCATGTTTTGTCAAGTAACTTTACTAGATGGGAAGCTCACACATTGCTGTCGTCAATGTCTGGCGGGGTACATCTAGTACTTAAATAATAATTGTAAATTGTATTTAACTAAAGGCGCTTCCTGAAATAAAAATCTTGAAATACTATGTAATCGACCAAAACTTGGTTAGACCGCGTTGAGATATTGAATATGTCACTAGAGTAACCCCCAAAACAAATTTCAAATCGCAAGTGTAATCGGAATCGAGATAAAATCTTTGTGTAGAGAAGTAAAAGACGATATACAAGGTAACAGAATCGTCAAATATAATACAACTTTATCTACATGGTTGGTTATTGACTAATAGAAATTGGTTCCATAACATTTTCCTTTGCTACACTTGAGACCCGATTAGTTTCTCTGACTGACCGGTCTGTGCTTTTTGTCTTGTCTCGTGCAGATTATGTGACTCACTCTTGCTTGTACACACCGTTCATGAACACATACGACAACTTGCTGAACTACAGGGTGCCAGTCGACTATGTGCTCAGGGGAGTGGAGAGTATTAATGACGAGAGCCATAGGTAAGTTATCAAAGATGAATGGGCTTTAAAAGTAAATTGCAAGACTTCACCAACACTTTATACACTGGCAAAGAAAAGGGGCGGAGATTGTGCAAGATTTTTCTAAAGTTCTTGGACCAAATGGGACTTGCACACGTGACTGCTCGATCGGAAATTTGGAATGATGAGGATGAAAAAGACAACAAAAAAAAGCACTCTATGTATGCTCCACACAACACTGTAACAGCTAGCCATCCACACAACACTTTAAAAGCTAGCCATCCACACAACACTGTACGAGCTAGCCATCCACACAACACTGTAAGAGCTAGCCATCCACACGACACTTGCAGTGCTACCCATCCACACGACACTGTCAGTCCTACCCATTCATTCAAGTCTTCTCTGTAGGTGCTTCCCATCTAACGTAACTCTTTAGGTGATACTAATTGAAAGTATGTTTGAAAGCGCTACTCTACAACACAGGAGTCCCTTGGGTTGGTGTCACCCGGCTGCGGCACACTCATGGTGTCGCCCCTACTCATGGTGTCACCCCTACTCATGGTATCAATCCTTACTCATGGTGTCACCCCTACTCATGGTGTCACCCCTACTCATGGTGTCACCCCCTACTCATGGTGTCACCCCCTACTCATGGCGTCACCCGGCTGCGGCACACTCTAGGTGTCACTCCTTAATCATGGTGTAACCCCCTACTCATGGTGTCACCCTTACTCATGGTGTCACCCCCTACTCATGGCGTCACCCGGCTGCGGCACACTCTAGGTGTCATCCCTTACTCATGGTGTCACCCCCTACTCATGGTGTCACCCTTACTCATGGTGTCACCCCTTACTCATGGTGTCACCCCCTACTCATGGTGTCACCCCCTACTCATGGTGTCACCCCCTACTCATGCTGTCACCCGGCTGTGGCACACTGTAGGTGTCACCCTTACTCATGGTGACTTCCATACCCCCACGCCGACCTGTAATTTTCCACCAGATCATATGGAATCGATTATATCATTAAAAAAAACAAAAGCAACACAAGCAACCATACGGCCCTGGTCTTCAAAGACGCAAACCTGTCAATCACTTCATCAACATTCTTCACCATCACTTTCAATTGATACAATCGCAAGACCACAAGTCCTGGACTTTATTATTATTAAGATGGTTTTATGTAGCGCAGTACCACACAGCCTAGGGCTAAGTTCACTGCGCTTCACATACAAATTAGCAGTTCAGAAAGGTATATATTTAAATTAGCAATTGGTGAAAACCTTGACCTCACCCACCCAGGCACTATCTACTCCTGTCTAGCCATGGGCATCACCCTGCAGAATCGAGCGTTGTTTTTTCAGTCGGGGGGGGGGGGGGGGGGGGGATAAGAATGAGTCGGAATAGTACAGTTTGAAGAGATGGGTCTTGACGGCAGTTTTGAAAGCTGGGGCGATCGGTATATTGCGGATGTGTAATGGGAGAGAATTCCAAAGTAGATTGCTGATTATTCTTTAAAAGTTTCAATTTTCAAAACTAACTTTACATGGAACCACAGACACACATCTCATGTGAGAAATAATTGTAGAGCTTAGTCAGAGAGTTTAGGAGAGAGTCTACAGGCAGTCGAAATTAGTTAAGAATTTTTAAAACTTGAAATAGTGACCACTCGTCGCCGTTATTTTCTGCTACTTTCAGTTGACGTAATATTTCAATTGAAATTCACTCATAAAAATGAACAGTTTTGTGAAAGGACGTCATTACCAGATTGAATATATACAACGATAGAGAGTATCATTTCTTATGATAAACGAAAGGCAGACGTGGTCAGGCTTTTGAATATTTATGTTTAATGTGAAACAACACAGAATGGATATTTTGACCTTCAAGTTTTATCCTTCATGTTGGTCTGAAGTGAACAGTAACAAATCATGTCCCGTTCAGGGGGTCGCAAGCTTAAGGTGTGCCGCCGATCTCATGGGATAACGCGATAGACACATTTGGCTGGCAACCTGATCTTGTGGTGGCAGTCTGTATTTAGGGTATTCTGGTCTGGTGGCACTCTGGTCTGGTGGCACTCTGGTCTGGTGGCACTCTGGTCTGGTGGCACTCTGGTCTGGTGGCACTCTGGTCTGGTGGCACTCTGGTCTGGTGGCACTCTGGTCTGGTGGCACTCTGGTCTGGTGGCACTCTGGTCTGGTGGCACTCTGGTCTGGTGGCACTCTGGTCTGGTGGCACTCTGGTCTGGTGGCACTCTGGTCTGGTGGCACTCTGGTCTGGTGGTACTCTGGTCTGGTGGCACTTTTCTCTTGTACATATTTTAAGAAACCGACTCGAGCGAGCTTTGCCAAATTAGCAATTATGCATTTGTGTCACTCCCCTGCAAGTATGTAACCCAGTGTGGACTGCACTCTCGCACCCCCACCCCCAGGGACACTACTGCCCAACGCTCAAATCTATGTTGTAGATAATTCCCATCCACACAACTGTTATATAACTGTATAAATGTTGCTTTAATGCGTAGAGATTTTGTTGTAGCTTTGAATGTTAAATACAAATGCACTCATTTATTCCCAGGGACAGAATCTTCAAGTTTGAGATCTGCAAGCTCGCCCCGGCAGATTCTAACACTCACGGTATTGTTGGTTGACGGAAGTGACGTCATTCTTTGCCTAAAAAGTCAACGAGCATGAACTTTTGTGAAAAGAAATGTTAAATGTGGAGTGAATGATTTTTTTTGTTGGTACTATAAACATAAGTGCTGATTCGGGTACTGACCCAGATACCCGGAAATGACGAAAATTAGTTCCCTCGACATGTACCCGGACCAGGCAAAATTTAGAACCGCGTCCGCGTGTTAAAATAAAGAATTACTTGTTCACTTTCTGTAATGTGAGTAATACAGAATCAGTATGTAGTTGATACATTCATTTTGTGCACATCTATGCATGAATTAAATAAGTAATTATAATAAAACTGACTGGCGATTGCTGCGAAACTAAATGTAAGCTAAATGAAACTAAATGCACGCTAAATGAAACTAATTGTAAGCTAAATGAAACTAAATGTAAGCTAAATGAAACTGCAGGATGAAAATAATAACGTACTTGCTTTGAATTTGTTGTAAATATTTGTCTTGGCAGCCAGCATATCTGTCGTTATGACCGTGGCATATCTCTATCTAAAATGAACATCACAATTCACATGCTGACTCATGGCTAATGATGCGGAGTTGACAAAGTTTAAGCGGATCATTAAATTCAATAATAGCTCTGACTCAAACATAAGTAGGGATAACATGTGTATTTAGGGATAACATGTGTATTTAGGGATAACATGTGTATTTAGGGATAACATGTGTATTTAGGGATAACATGTGTATTTAGGGATAACATGTGTATTTAGGGATAACATGTGTATTTAGGGATAGCATGTGTATTTAGGGATAGCATGTGTATTTAGGGATAGCATGTGTATTTAGGGATAGCATGTGTATTTTATAAATCTCAATAAATAAATTAAATTGCAACCTTTTTTTTGAGTTATTCATTTATGTGGCGTAAGCTTGGTGGGGAAAATTTGGTGTAAACTTGGTGGAAATTTGGTGGAAACATTGTGAAACTTCGCTCAGGTCAATACCCCCAACCCACTCCCAGCTCCTCACCATCTCTTAAACCCCCCCCCCCCCCAATATTTTCTTAAATATCTAAATGAGGGACGTCTCTTTAGCCTTTGGAAAGATCAATTACAGCAAACAAACAAAAAAAAAACAATAACAAAAAAAAAACTTGATCGTTTTACTCCCAGCCCCTCACCATCTCTTAAACCCCCCCCCCCCCAATATTTTCTTAAATATCTAAATGAGGGACGTCTCTTTAGCCTTTGGAAAGATCAATTACAGCAAACAAACAAAAAAAAAACAATAACAAAAAAAAAACTTGATCGTTTTTATTATGTGGAAATGAAAGCTATATTTTTTTCCTTCTTGGTTTACAAAGTGGAGACACAAAATATTATGGCTTCTTCCATGTTTTCGAGATAATCGAGACAGACATGAACATTTAGTTGAGACTGGCCTCACAGTCAATGATGGTCGTGGGAATTTGTTTGTATACATGAAGGTTTAGTAACATTAGATGGAATGATACGTAAAATATATATAAGTTAGGCCTGCATATTAAAATAGTGTGACAATGATATGAGTAAAATGGGCCTCATGCATTCAGGAAACAGCAACTAAGTTGCCTGGACTTATCCTTAAGGAAGCCGAAGTCTGAGATTTGTGACTGTTAGCAGATTAGAAATAGTCTAAATGACCAAAATTGCATTGCAGCAGTCAATTACATTGAAACACATTCCCGTTATTCATGTATTGTTCTTGTTGTAAAAAAAAACAACTTTATAGCAACTATGATTGCTGTCACTTAGATTTCTGTCACAATCTGCTAACCAGAGAACATTGAGTGAAGACTGAAGCACAAGATTTCTCCGTGACATCTATAGCAAGGGAAATGTGGTGGTAGAGGAGAGATGCTGGGTGCTGGGTGGCCGAGCGGTCTAAACGGTCTCAAACCAAACAGCTGGTGGTCTGGAGTTCAATCCCCACCAAAAGCAAATCATTCCAAGCACCCCGGGTAGATGGGACTCGCTAGCCTTGGACGGCAACCCATCTAAGAGAAGACAAACTCTGAATTTAAACCAGGAGCCAGAATGATCAACAAATTGATCGTGGGCACCTCAAATATAAGAAGAAGAAGGAGATGTTTGAGGATGGCCGTAAGTGAAGTGTGGTGGGAGAGGAAAGTGGCTGGAGGGTTATGAGGATGTGGTTTGGGTGTAGGGAGTTAAAAAAAAACAACAAATTCTAAATCGAAGACGCCGGCGCAAACTGACTCACCATGGGGGGGGGGGGTTGTTGTTGTTTTGTCTTATGTTGTTTTGCAACAGAAAGCTTTGAATTCAATAAGGATTATCCCAAAAGTTGGTTTCGGGTACGAAAGAATGAGCAGAAAATCAGACAGAGGCTACGGCAAATAAATACAGCTGCAGCTAACGGGTTGGATCAGCAGAAGGTGTTCAACCCACCGCTGATCTCAAATAAATTTGGGTTCCCCGGCAACCCGCTAAATGATGTGCAACCATAACTCATTGGATTGTCAAGGGGTCAGGCTCATAGTCGTCACAGAGTCTATATGTACCAAAGTAACAGTAACCTTTAAAAGTACATTTCAAATTTGCATGTTTCAGTCTTCAGAAACAGTATTGAACTGGTCTTATCTTCTCCCGGCCACTAGCCCATTTGGGAGATCAAGATCTGTTCGTTTTCTTGTTTACCAGCAGACTCCAAGGTCTCCTAATGCGCATTTCGGGGGCCATCCACATGGTACGGGGGGGGGGGGAGGTTGTTGATTCTGGATATTTTTGTTCCACGTGCGTTAGGCCCCGGGGGGGGGGAGAGGGAGGGTTGTCTCGGCAGAAAAAACGTACATTGATTGAATGAAACATTCTACATTAATCATTCTGAAACTCTGAAAGTCCAAAATAGAAAATTTATATCTTGAATTCTGTAAACACATAGCACAATGTTTTGTAACAACTATCGTCATGACGTTGCCATGCATTTTCACAAATGAACTCCCTAGGTATCGCTCCGAGAGTACTCGGTAGTAGAGGTTTTACATCGATAATTAGTCCACCATATGTTCAACGTAGATGTGACGTATATTTTGCTTGATGTCACATTGGCATAAAAGGGGAAATAAAATTACGAAAATTGTGTAATATTTCGCAAGGCCCCTGCGAGAAAGCCACAGCAACCTTTCTCCCCCTCTTCCCCCAACCCGATCTGACCAGAACATGGACGGTTTTTGGCGGCCCTTGTGTTTGTAAAGTTTATGGGATTTTATGGTTCAATTCACTATTAAGGTCTTATCTAAAGACGAATTTGGCACCCGCTTAATTTTGGGCGACTATATTCTGAGAACCACTGGGCTGGCCAAACAGCCGCATGGGTTAAAACACGTGAAACATTTTGTTAACTGTGACGTCATAATAGTAGAACGGTTGTTGGATTTTGATGGCTGTTTTTTTTTTCAGGGGTGGTCGGGTAAAAAACTAATTGAACATACGTATGGGGTTTGAGGGGGGGGGTCATCAAAAAAGTTCACGTGACATGGGGGGGGGGGGATGGCAGAATTTTTTTTAAACATTTTTTGCGTATGTACTACATATATGACCCTTTACTCATGTCCATTTTATTCGTATTTACTGCATATATATTTATGCGTATGTACTACATATATGACCCTTTACTCATGCCCATTTTATGCGTATGTACTACATATATGACCCTTTACTCATGTCCATTTTATGCGTATGTACTACATATATGACCCTTTACTCATGCCCATTTTATGCGTATGTACTACATATATGACCCTTTACTCATGTCCATTTTATGCGTATGTACTACATATATGACCCTTTACTCATGCCCATTTTATGCGTATGTACTACATATATGACCCTTTACTCATGTCCATTTTATGCGTATGTACTACATATATGACCCTTTACTCATGTCCCTTTTATGCGTATGTACTACATATATAAATGGCTAGAAAGACTTTGACATTGTATGCTTGTACTTAGTTTTTGTCGTGTTGCGTTTGTTTTAAATGTGGTAAACTATAGATTTGTGGTTTTTTTTTACTTTGTACCGCGCTTCGAGCCTTTGGGGATGAAGCGTGTTTTTGAAATGAACTTTATTATTTATTATTATTATATATGACCCTTTACTCATGTCCATTTTTTGTCAATTATTTATAAAATTACATCGAAAGTGTATTTAATGAATACCCAGACACATCTTCACAACTCATTCACATGGTGGGAATGGCTAGGAGCGACAATGAGAATGTCAGAGAAACTCGCGGTATTTCATAGATCAAAATGAAGCGATATGGTCTGTGTGGTTGTTTAAGATGACCAAGGCCAATTTCGGCTTAATGAGTAGCCTTGATGTGAACTTTTGTGTGTGTTTAAAGTGAGGGAGAGTTTCCTCAATTCGACAGCCTCACACCCTCGTCCTTTCCTATTGGGTCCAATGGCGAGACTTAGTCGAGACGACTGGAAATAGACCAGGATGCTGTAGATGACAAGGAGTGTTTGTGTGTGTATGTGTGTGTGTGCCTGTGTTTCCCTGTGGCCTTTATGAGTTCTACGTCGCAGGAATTGTGGGAATGTTCCTTGTGTCTTGTGAGGCTCCATTCGCCGGGTTGGATTTAAGAGTTTTCCACCTCTTAGATGGGTTGCCATCCAATGTTATCGAGTCCCATCCACCCGTGGTGCTGGCGATGGTTTTGCTTGTCTAGGTGTTTTCTGCAGCTTGAGCTCCGATCCACTAGCTTGGGATTGACTCAATTTAGACCACTCTGTCACCCTCTACAATACAAGACCACACTACGGTTTACACAAATGGGCATACCATATAACATTTAAAGGGATCATCAAGACTGTTAGACTTTGAACAAAATTAAGATTGTAAGACCTTTAACAAATGATTGTGGGACTTTTAACAAATGATTGTGAGACTTTTAACAAATGATTGTGAGACTTAAAAACGATGCCCAAAAGACTTTGCCTATTGACCAATGCTTTATGATTGTCACACTTTCAGCTCCGCCAATATCATCGCAAAATGTCTTCAAATGATCGTCAGACTTAGAGCTCCGCCTATGCAAGTAAGCCAAAATGTCCACCAATGATCGTCAGCCTTAAAGCTCCGCCAATGCAAGTATCCCAAAATGCCCACCAATGATCGTCAGGCTTAAAGTTCCGCCTATACCAAACGCTCAGAGCGTATCAAATGATTGCCAAGATAACGTTGTTGTTAATGTCCGTAGTATAAAAGAAGAAACAAATCTCGTGGTAACTGAACAACTTGAACTCACCTTTTGACAACTGACAATGCTGTGTTCCACCACCACCTACCTCACCCTCCTCGCCATGCTGGCCACGGCGTCACGGGCCGCTGACACATGGATGACCGCATTCCATACTTATTTCCAGATAGCGTGTCCGTCTGGTCAGACCATCAGACAACTAGAGAGTATCCATGACAACAGACAGGAGGACAGGGTATGGAACATGACCTGTGCCCGCCTACCCAACTGGGCGTACCTTAAAGAATGCGAGTGGAGCGGTGAGTTCATTCGTATAGGCCTATATATATATATATACTTTTGAATAAAAGTTTCCGGGACTGTCACTTTGAACGGGATTAAGGGAGGGGTGGGTGGGGCCAGATATCGAGGGAGCAAATGTTGGGGTATAAGTCTGTTAAGGGAATCAGCGAGTCCTTTTCAGGAATTTTGTCTATTTTTTCAT